TTTATTTTCGATTTGTGAAGGTGTATGCAAAGGGTGGCAAAACCATTGTTTTTACCCAAACAAAAAGAGATGCAGACGAGGTTTCTCTAGCGTTGTCAAATAGCATTGCTTCTGAAGCTCTGCATGGAGATATATCCCAGCATCAAAGAGAGAGAACACTCAACAGTTTTCGCCAAGGGAAATTCACAGTTCTTGTTGCCACCGATGTTGCATCTCGTGGACTTGACATCCCCAACGTGGATCTCGTAAGTTTTCAAAGTCTCAGTACATAATTTAACCTTTTTGATGGCAGGTTAGTCTGTTTGTTCTGACATTTTCTTCTACAGGTTATCCACTATGAACTTCCTAATGATGCAGAGACGTTTGTGCACCGTTCTGGTCGTACCGGACGTGCAGGGAAACAAGGCTCTGCCATTCTCATGCACAGCAGCAGCCAAAAGAGAACAGTGAGGTCTCTGGAGCGTGACGTAGGCTGCCATTTTGAGTTTATTAGCCCCCCAACCGTTGGAGAGATTTTGGAAGCTTCGGCAGACCAAGTGGTTGCCACCCTAAATGGTGTTCACCCCGACTCTATTAAGTTTTTCTCAGCAACTGCTCAAAAATTATTCGAGGAAAAAGGAACAGATGCCTTAGCTGCAGCTCTAGCTCACCTGAGTGGTTTCTCTCAGCCGCCTTCATCGAGATCTCTCCTCAGTCATGAGCAGGTTTAATTCTCAATCATGCTTTAAGATTCAAGAAAATCAATTGACTTCTTTGCTTTAGAGTGCTTCTTGAGACTCCTCTAAACTGCAACATTTAACACTATATAGCAACTCTTTTTCACTTGAACAGGCTTTATTCCTTTAATTATATCTGATAATACAATGTTCATGAACTGAAGTTATTTCTTGAACTGCAGGGATGGGTGACTTTGCAGTTGATACGAGATCCAACAAATGCTAGAGGCTTCCTGTCTGCAAGGTCTGTAACTGGTTTCCTTTCCGATGTTTACCGTCCAGCTGCAGATGAAGTTGGTAAAATCTTCTTGATCGCAGATGACAGGGTCAGTATCTCTTTAAAACTGTTTGTGATTTTAGTAGAATTTCAGAACTATATTCTTGTGGAAATTTCTGATTATGCTATATTTTTCAGGTGCAAGGAGCTGTTTTTGATCTACCAGAGGACATCGCGAAAGACCTTCTAGAGAGAGAAGTGCCAGAAGGAAACAGTTTATCCATGATAACGAAGGTATTGATCCCGACTTCATTTACTTCCGCTGGCTCTCACTATTAAAACATTCTAAATACATCTGTTAATAACTCCTCACATCTTGGGGTTTTGATTGTAGTTGCCTCCACTGCAAGATGATGGACCGTCTAGCGATAACTATGGACGGTTCTCTAGCAGAGATAGGATGCCTAGAGGAGGTTCTAGAGGAGGGTCAAGATCTGGTGGTAGAGGAGGATCATCACGAGGCCGTGATAGTTGGGGAGGTGACGATGACAGAGGAAGTAGAAGCAGGGGTGGTGGAGGAAGCAGCTGGTCCCGTGGTGGTGGTTCTTCCAGAGGAAGTTCTGATGATTGGTTGATTGGTGGTGGTAGTAGCAGAAGATCATCATCAAGCGGCAGATTTTCTTCAGGAGAAAGGTGAGTTTTTTTAGTTTCAAACAAATCTATGTTTATAGCTACGCGCGCTTGCCCCATTCAACTGATTGGATTGATGTCTGTAAACAGGAGTTTTGGAGGTTCTTGCTTCATTTGTGGGAAATCAGGGCACAGGGCAACAGATTGTCCTGACAAGAGAGGGTTTTAAGTTTGCCTAGCAAATGGTTTCTGCCTTGAGAGAGATCCATGTCCTTTTTGGTGTCCGTAATTCGAATCTTTCCGTGCTTGCTTCAACCGTTTGTTTCAGACGGCAAGAGTGCAATCATGGAAGATATATGCTTCAGACAGGGTTTAACTACAAACATAGTGCAGAAATAGAGAGGCAGAAGTAAGTGAAAGGAGAAGGTTTTCCTCAAATTGGCATTTTCAGAGATTGTTTCAGAAACAAGGGAAAGCTGATGAATATTTGATATTAGGTTATTATCATTATTATAATTAGTCTTCCGTTTTGAGGTTTGTATGATTAAGTATTTACACTACATTTTGTCTTTGTACGTTTCTATTATTATATGTGAATTGTGATCACATGTGTTTTGACAGTGTCATTATAATGGAATCGGTTCGGCTTTGATATAATTGAAATTTTTTAGTTTAACATAATGATTTTGTTTGTAAGAAATATCTGTTTACGTCAAGTCAAGCACATGAGTTTGGTTTCTCATGTAACAGAACCCCACAAGATTCTGCTTTCTGAGCCCAATCGAAATTCAGTGTTGTGTGTGTCAGGGTTTGGGACATAACAAATGAGACCACATTACAAGTGCTCAAATCCAATCATGGAGGATATAGTTATCAAAGACCATAAATGAAAGCAGAGAATAGAAAGGGTGGTCTTTGATTCTTGAAGTACAAGCTAACCATAAAAGACCAACCAACTCAAAATCTTAAACTTGACAACTAATTAAACCTAACAAAAAAAAAATTGTGAAATGCATCACAGAACCAAAATAAAAAGACATTAAGAGGGACAAGAAAATTTAGAATCATTTCACTGAAGAAGACTTTTAATCCTCAGGTTGGTTTATCCAATCAAGCTCAGTCTTTGGGTATTCTTTAAGCTGCTCGGCCACTCCTCTCTCGAGAATAAAACTGATTCTCCACAACACAATTTTACTCTCCATTTTCATGCCTTTGATCTCATAGAGTCTCCAAAGCATACCCTTGACGAATTTGAAGTCGCTTGTACCAAACCATTCCAATTGTTTCTTCACAATGTTTTCTACATCTCTGAAAGCTCTCCTCACTAGCCCAACTTCCATTCCTCTTTCCACTAGCTCTCTCACTGAATCTACCATCTTATACGCAATCTCCTTAACGGATTTAGCGTGACTTGGGATCTCTATCGAGTGAACAATCGCACAGAACGCACCTGTAAACGCCAAGACCCAGCAACTGTTATCTACCAATACCTCTTTTGGTGGGTTTAGCCTTGTGCTTATCTCTGGCAGAAGACTCTCCATCACAGGAATCACAAACTCTTCATCTTCAAGCGACATTGTTAAGCACTGGAAGATGTAAACCGCTCTCTCAAACTCTGTTTTGCTTCACGATACAATATAATCGCGTAGACCAAACCATTTTTCATCTTGGACGTTCATCATCTCATACGCAACGTGGTACACCACCTCACCAAGGATTTTGAACATGCTCTCGGAGATTCCTTCTTTCGAAAGGCAAGTGATGAGCAATGGCTGGAGTTGTCTCATCACTGAAACGTCTATCTCCACTTTCTTTGAAGTGTGATCAGAGAGTAAGAGGTTGAGCCGTCTGATTGCCATATCTCTACACTTCTCTTCGAGATCAGTCGAGGCAAAGATTCTTAAGATTTCAAGTGATGATAACTTGTTCAAATGATCAAACCAGTCACCATCAAACCCTGCTCCATGATTAGGATTGTGACAAGACTTAACCAACCGATTGATCTTCCTCGCAACCTCCTTGATCGGTGTTCCGAGTTCTCTGATCTTGAACATGAAAGACGACACAAAAAGGCATTGATCCTTATTGAAACCATACTGAATCTTGTCTCGTGACAAGAACCTCTCGAGATTCTCAAGCCCTCTTAGCAGAAACTGTTCCATTCCCTTGGCAAATAACTCATTCGCCGATTTCACAAGAATGGTAAGAAGATTCTTCACCAAATCTAATCTCCTTTCTGAATCCAAAAGCTGAATACCCATTTTAACAAGAGTCTCTAAACCCAAACTCCAATCTTCGACTCTATCTAGCTCAGGATTCATCAACACTATCTCTGCTTTCTCCACAATTTCCTGCATAAACGTGTAGATGAATTCCCCGTAGAATGGAGGCAAATCGATGAAGACATGAAAAGCCTTTTTAGGCTCAGTGATTGCGAGCGAGAGGATACAATCACCGAGCTCGTTCCATCCACCATTATCTAAACGGACAACATCGTAAGCTACGAAAGACACGAGTCTCCGTAAGATCTTCATGTCGGATTCTTTGGTCTCTTTCATCATCAAGCACGAAATCACAAGGGGCTTGATGTCGTTGAGAGCGACGAGAGGGAGTTCGAAGCCGCGGTTGCTGAATTCGGAGAGGAGATAGATCGATTGGAATCTGACGACGCAATTGGAAGAAGATTGATCGAGTTTGAGAAGCATTTGGAATAAGCAACATGGGAATTTAGCGGCGCAGAAATTGTAGAGAGCTGAAGCCGATTGAAATTCGATGGTTTCTGGACGTGAAGAGAGTTGATTGAGAAGAATCTCTAACCCTTGGTGGCTTGAGGTAGCAATGAGTTCTCTCGCTTTCAACATGAGATTCAAAGGTTCAGCCATTGCAGGTTTTTGTTTTTTTCCGAGAAAATTATTACGACGACGTCTAAGAATTTTTCAGGTTTAAAGATTTTTCAGTAGTTGTTGCTTGCTTGCTGATGATTTTACCGGACGAGGTTATATATAGCTCTCAAATTAAAATATATTTTAATTCTTAAAAGATAAATCTGATATCTTATTAAAATTAATTAATTTCTTACCCAAATATCATATCTTA